ACTGGATTTTAAACTTTCTTTAGCTTCTAACTTGAACTATTGCACATACAATGGGGCAATGGTGGCTTAGTGGTTAAGGAAGGAAGCAGCACTTGAGTCCGGAAGGTTTAAGGTTCGTTACCACTGAGGTGCTCTGAGCAAGGCAGCGTCCCTACACACTGCCCCCTGCTGACTGTGTCCAAGGGTTAAAAGCAGCGGTCACGTTTGGTTGTGGTCAGTGGTGTCATGATGACAAGTCGTTCAGTTTCAATCCTACCTGTAATCTAATCCTAATCCTTACACTCACACCCATCCAAACCCAGATCGAATCCCAATCTCCAAACTAAATCTTCATCTTCAAAAAAACCCCGTCCGTCAGTATGGACCTACAGAACAGACAAACAAGGACCGAGTGTCCACACAAGAAAAGAACACCTCCAAAGAAATGACATACTTACTATTCTTAATCCTAATCCTAATCCTTGAATCCTTGAAGTCCTTTGTGTGAAAACTGGTGAACTGGTTCTGACACAGATGCTGGTGTGGGCTGCTACACTGCAGGTGTGGAACGTAAAATACAAATAATTTAACACACACACACACACAGAGAAAAAAAATCAAACCAGGCCTGAAATAGGCAGGAGAGAGAGAAAGAGAGACATATAAAAAGAGAGAGAGAGATTACGTGCATGACTTGGTGAAAACAGAAAGTCATTTGAACATATCAAGTGTGAAATCAACATTTTTTTTTTCTAAAGCGTTTTTTCCAAAACCCGTTATTTCCGTCTCTTCAGCTCAGTTTATATCAGGTTCAAAAGCCGTCTGAGTCACACAAGGAGTTCGTTATGTAACGGCACCGACCTGATGATGATGATGATGATGATGATGATGGTTCCCTGCTGCCCAGGTGAAGACGCCCCATGCTGTGTTATGGCAGGATGTTAACGACCTGTAATTAAGTGTTTAAAGAGCATCTGATCTCAGAGTGTTTAATAATTAAACACTATTTATTAAAAAGGAGATCAAATCCTAATTTATACACTACTTGTGTATTTCCACCCACAAACGCAGTACGCAGACAGTACTTGCAGTAGATGCCAGTACAGTATACTGCATATGTATAAAGATTTGGATGTTTGTGATTTTAACAGGCAAGAATAACCTCCTTTTGTCACAATATATAAATATATACAGTATATATATAATTACTATAATTATTATAACAATAATATCATATATATTTTATGATTTTGTTTTAAAATAATTATATCTGGCCTTGTATTATATCAATTTCCCTTCATTAAGTTTAACACTGAGTTGGTAAAACTTCTTGTTACATTACAGATTTTGGTTGGAGCGCCTCCTAGTGGAGGTGGGACGTAATAATAAGCAGGTATAGTCGTATATAATGATCCTTTAAAAAAACAATGAAAATCCAAATGTGATGAATTTAATATTTAACATAAACTATAGAAATGTGAATCAGATTTGAGGGGAGATTTGACAGCCTTAACTTGTAGTTAATTTTGTTTTCAAATTGACTGTAATTTAACTGTAATTTGCCTCAGAATTGGCTTCTAATGATTGGATTTGAACTACAGTAAATATAGAGACAGACTCCGTATCTGTCCAGGGAAGTGATTACGACTGTAAGAAGTGAATTTGCTTCTCACACAAACTAACAATGAACCCAGATTTGCCTCTAATTCCAGCTGAGCCTCAGCCTTAACTCTCAGCACAGAACAGTATGTTTAGGTAATTAAACGCTGGAGTGGATTAAACCCGCTGAATTAGCAGCATGTTCTATTGACAAACAGCTAAAAAAAAACAAAACAACAACGTGTAAATCAGGAAATCTTTTACAGATGTTATAAATCAGGGGGCGTCAAACTCACTCTGGTTCAGGGGCCGAACATCGTTACCTCTAAATAACAAAAAAAGTCCACATTTTCCCGCACATTTAGTGAAAATATCTTTTGACAAAACATCACAATATATGACAGGTTTGTGCATTTTTCATTCATCAGTTGAGCCCGAATGAACCACCCCTAACGGGCTGGTTTTGGGTCCCCGGGCCATATGTTTGACACCCCTGTTATAAACTAACGCAGCATTACAGTCTGTCCTTGTCCTCAGCTTCAGGTCCTCACCCTGAGGGGACGATCACACCACACTGTCCTCTACATAAAGCAACGCCGTCGCGTCACTGATTAAATTGTAACTCAGACGACAGACGGCAGCGCCGTGCATTTAAACGCCGGCGTTCATCACCCGAAACCAGGTGAAGCTCAGCGCTGCTGTCTGCACATCCTCTCTCTCTCTCTCCCTCACTGTCGACACTGTCAACGTGTCATGATCTTGTCCTCAACACAGTGCGCGTAAAAATGTGTTCGAGCTCCTGCAGCCGACGCCAGTCAACGGAACGATAAGGTGCTGAAGGAGATACGGGTTTAAATGAAGTCACATGGGGGGGTGAGTGTCTGAGGCCTGTTAGAGTCAGTATGTGTGTGTATGTGTGTGTCGGCCACCGTGGGAAATCAAGTCAGGGCAGAGAGCATGCAAAAATCAGAGGGAGGTGGGGTCGGGGGAGGGAGGGGGTGAAGTCGTGGCCAATAGGCAGAAAATTCTCTCATTAACCAAATCAGCTGATAAAATTAGAACATCTAGATCAGACTCACACACACACACTCGACATTTTCTTATCTCCTTGTTTTCCTCATTAACCTCTCCTTTGAAGGATTACGTTGTTCATTTCCATAAACAGAAACGTGTGTGTGTGCGTGTGTGTGTGTGAACGCTCAGATCAAATCAGGACAAAACGACATCATTTACATGAACCCCAGAACCAATCCTTCAGTTTGTCAGACACGCTGTTAAAGGTTCTAGAAACCACCATGGATTTAACACCTTCATCAATTCAAAGTCAGACATTTGGTTTATTAGAAAAGCTTAATTAAATGTCCACCTTTTTGGTAAAGGAACCGAGTCGAGTCCAGAAGCAGGGAAATATAAACGTTTACATTTCAGTCGACCATATATAAAAAAATACTTTTTCAATTTAAACAAAGTAGCACCTTTTATTCTGGCAGCTAAACATGCAGTCGTGGTCAGAGACACAACTTCCCCTCAACAGTAACAGTAAACCACCACTATGTACAACAGTGAAACACGACCGTGTCTGTTTCTTCATATTTGACACAGCTCGTTCGCCCGTGTCTACGACTGAACGACGCTTTCAAAACGAGTTGAGAATTTAGCAAAAAAAAAACCGATTGTTTTTGACATTTGAATTACGAAGGTTAAAATTTCACTGTTCATTCAGGGAATCATTGACTTTAAATAAGAACTTTACAAGATAATGATTTAAAAAAAAGAAAAAAAGCAACAGGAGGTGAAACGCAGTCAGAGTCCAGTCGTCATGAAACCATGTGACAGGAGCAGCTGCAGCTAATTGGACAAATTGCTTAAAACTTTTATATAATCAAACACCTTCAAACTGTTAGCCAGCTGCTAGCATAGCCACTTTATTAGATATATTACGGCAATAATAAGAGATTTTAATCAAGGTCATTTAATTACTGTGTCTAATGATATTTGTTTTAAGTTATTTTAAAGTAACACGTGTTCTAATTCAAAATGTCGCCTGTTTAAAAAATGCAATTAATTCATTTTTATTTAATTTATAAAAATAATTAATTTAGACGTGAGGTCACCATGGTGACGCCCGTGGCTCTGCTGGGCTGCAGGCGGCAGATAAGTTTCTCACAGTGGAGCTCAGTGTCAACATTAGTCTGAATGTCTGCTCACTGTTTACTTCTTATGATTAATTTTTTTCTATTTTAAATAACAAAAACAACCCCCCCCCCCTCC